CCGAAGTGCAGGACCTGGCACTTGGCCTTGTTGAATCTCATACAGTTGGCCTTGGCCCATCGATCCAGCCTGTCCAGGTCCCTCTGCAAGGGGTCAGTGCAAGCCATGGCCCCTCCAATCCCTACTCCTGACAGACTCATTCTTTTTGGCAGGGTTTTGCCCAGTTCCAAAATATTTCTAATATTCTGGAAATGTTTGGATACTGCTTTCAAAAAACAGTGCTACAAAATAGTAAGACAGACAAAGGCCATAAGGATGAGCATTACTGAGCATTAACAACCGAGTTTAACCATAATGGATGCAGCCTGTGGAAATACTGCTCTCACAGGAGGTCATGAACTTTGCTTCAGCACAAGAAAGCCCGTTTGAGCACTCATGCCACAGTGGAGCTTACCTGCCTCTCCCTCACAGCTATTAAAAAGAGAGCATTTTCAAACACACTATGGGCTTTTTTTTTCTTTTTTGTGCTGCCCACATTTTTCCAATCTAAAAGAGAGCATTTTGTTTTCTTCTGGTCATGGCATGCAAATTAAAGACTTTGAGGAACAGCAATTACTGGAAACACAATCATCCTAGAAATCCTTCCTCAGATGGGAGTGCAATCTTAGAGAAGTCTTTCTTTCATAAACATGCATCAGAAATATACATGCATTGTGAGACCCAAAAACTTTAGTGAAACAGCACTTCTACAGAACTGTAAAAAGATAGAGAGCAATCAGTTGTTTTTTCTTTTCTGCTTTGTGGCAACCACAGAGATTTCCCTCAAATGTCAAAGCACAAATACAGACTTACATTTTTACCACAAATGCAGACTTCGTTACCACAGTGACAAAAATCATTGTATCTCTAATCTAGAAAATGTTAAATTTGTTTGTGGCAGCTCAGCATGCAAAATATTAAAAAGGTCAAAAAATTGCCCAAGCATCAGAATTTTGGCAAGCTGGTATCACAAAGGCAAATTAGTTTCTGCAGGCATTTTTTGGTTTCAAATTCCTCAAACCAAAATATAGATCAGATCCGCAACCTGTATCCCTAGAAGTCTGCCAGATCCTGACACAATGACTCTAAAGGGAACACTAAGATTTTATAGCTTATTATGTACTGTGGCATAGTACAGTATAACTGTTATTCCAGAAATCCACATAATTTGTCAGTTCAAAATGCTTAATGAGAAAGTACCAAGCCTTGTTGACACAATAACAGTGTTTTGATGCTATAAAAACTGCCACACATTGTAAATTTTGGTCCAAATATTTACTATGTTTCTATCACTATGAAGTCCATAGCAATTTTCAGGAAGATTTTTAAGCAGGAAGTGTACCTACATGTTCTTCGAGCAGTTTGACTGCTAACAGAAATCTATACATTACCAAATCTCCATTCTGTCTATTTGTACAAAAATGCTATTCTTGGTAGCTACAAGAGTTTCCTATAGATTTGCTATATAAAAGTACCTTCTAGGTTTCAAGCAAAATATTCTTTATACTATGACAGCAAGACTCATTTGCCTTTGAAACTGTTTAGGTGAAAAAAGACACATAAGTATATCATCATTCAAAAATTAGTTCTTGAAAATTGAAGTATTGCAAGCACTACACAAAATTAAGAACACGGTATATTAGGCACACATATTTAAACAACATTTAAAATACAAAACCCACACAGCTTTTTTCCATGCTGACTGAGCAGAGTTGAAAAGTGGAAGTTGACACGAGATTTATAGCTTTTTCTTGTTTATCTAAAGGCTCCTTGGAGCAGGTTACCTTCTTAGGAAAATGCAGCAGAGTCGAAATTCACATTCCACTGGGTTGGATGCAACAGCTAAAGCTTGGCACCAGGTCCTCCTGGCATCAGAGCAGCAACCAAGAAACGTCCTCTATTTCTTTAGCTTACATGTCACAGGCTTCACACTCAACAGGCATTTGGAGTTACTCTTTTCAGAGATATAAGGTCTGTGAGAGAGCTTTCAGCTCAGCTACCGCCCACCCAGGAACCCAGCAGCCTTGTGCTGTGCCGCGTTCAAAATCCGGCGTTTCCTCCCTCTTGTGGCAGGCTGTTTGTGCATCTGCTTACTAACATATGAGGCGTTTACCACTGCTCTGTTTATATCGTTTTAGAAATAGGTGCCCCTCAGAATAATTTATGTTGGAAGGGATTTCTGGTGGGATGTCATCTAGTCCAGCCACCTGATCCCAGCTAAGGTAACTTCAAAGTTAGATCAGGTTGATGTCTTCAAGGAAAAAGATTATACAACCCTTCCAGGCCCCTGTTCCAGTTCTTGCTTATTCACATTGTGATTCTTTTTTCCACCCAAAAAAAAATAATATTCAACTGGAATCTCCCTTGTTGCAGTCTGTGATGGTTGCCTCTCATCCTCTTCCTAACCGGCTCTGAGAAGAGTCTCTTAGATTCGAACTTACAGTAAACACAGGTACAGGTATGCACCTTACTGCTGACCTAATTTTGCCATATTGACTATACCTAAGCCAATGAATATCTACTCCTTGTTACTATACCTGCCAGATTTTAATCAGGACTTACAGTGCCATTGTGTGCTATTAGTAAAGGTCAAAATGCTCACAAGCTACAGGTGACGTTTTCAAAGATACTTATGTCTCTGAACCTACTGGGACTTTTCATTCCTTTTGTGGGAGCTGACAGTTTGCAAACAAATAAATACGTGCAAAAACACAATCCTATAGTTTCACAAGAAGTCAGCTTTGCTTATCACCGTTTTTATTTTACTTCATACTTTGTACAGAAAACCAAAAGTGCATCATGCTTTTGTTTATGATTCCATTGCAGAGAAATAACCAGATCTCACAATCAAAACTCC